GAGAGGATGGCGTGGGGAGCTCAACTGCAGTGACCACCCAGGACTCAGGCCACGTCTCCCCCCACAGCAGGTAGACCCTAAGGGTCACATATGTGTCCTCTCAAGAGCAAGCAGCCTGGCCCATGAACTTGTCTCAAACAAGAACAAAGACCCATGGGCCTGCTGGCTGGCACGTCTGATGGTGGCCAGATCCTCTCCTCAGCCTCTGTCTGTGGCCTGGGCATCCTGGTTGCTCCAGGCAATCAGGCGGAGGGGTCTTGAAGCCCAGATAGTTCAAGGTGACACTCCTGTTTTCCAGGCAGAGTTTAGGGTCAGGGAGAAGAGTGGCCATGATGGCATTAATCAAGGAGACTGATCCCACTGTGACAGCAGGGTAACCCGAAACTCAGGGGTTAGAGCCTCACCAGCGCTGGACCTGAGAACAGCACTACTTGGTGAGATTCCCTACCTTCGAGGGCTGCACAGGAAAGTAGGAGACAGAGCCCAACTCCAGGGTGGTTTTCAGTATTGATACTACTATACCTTCAAACTGACCTCATGACCCAGGTGTCAGGGTAGAACTGTGCCCCAGGGTGTTTGTTAAGATGAATTTTTACCCCCAGAAGCTGGTTACCAGGTTTTTTTCTTCTAAGGTACCCGAACAGGCTTGAACTTCCAACCTTACCATTAGCAATGAGTGTGCTGTGGAACTCAGTGACGTTCTTGCTGTGTATCTGAACACATAGCTGCAGTGATGTTACACAACCAGGATTTCAAATCACCAGGGTGATCGTGGTGGATGGGTTCTGGTGGAACTCCCACACCCAGATGCACCAGGAAGGATCCCTGAGTCCTCCGCTACTTGAGCCAGGACCTACAGGATGGTGCCTGTGCTTGACTTCTGGGGGAAGTCAGCCCCAAGGTGAGTTGTCATCTGTCACTGAGTGGGAACTGGCCTACAGCCGACCCTCCAGCAGGTCTCCAGAGGCAGTAAATCACATGGGAGGAGGCTGGCTGTCCTTGTCGAGCAGAACAGCTGCTGAATTCAAACTATGCCTTTCAGTGCCACAGCTGCTCACCACTGAACCAGCAGAGCTCCTCACCAGGGGGCCAGCAGTTTCTCAGCACAGAGCCACCACAGCTCCTCAGCACTGAGCCAGCAGAGCCTCTCACCAGAGCCAGAGCCCCGACAGCTTCTCATCACTAAGCCAGCAGAGCTCGTTCGAGTTAGGGTGGAGAGTTGGTGGTTTATTAGCCCAGGGACATGGAGGAAGGGCTGGGGCAGCGCCAATCCAAGGAAGTGTCACCAAGCTGACTCAAAGAAGCCAATCAGAAATATTCTGCAAAGTAGCATCAATCCATCCCTGCTCTTCTCATGGGTAGGTATCAGCACCTTGGAGGGTTTAGACTCCCCAGATGTCAAGCTTGCATAAGCCAATTTCAACATCCTAGGGCAGGGACCAGCTCAGCACAGAGCAGGCTCTGGGTGGGACACCTTTCAGACCTGGGTGGAAATCGGCAGAACTTGCCCAGAACTGGTTAATGCTGCCCACATCACAGGACAGGCTCGCGGATCCCAAGGGAGCACAGCTGTGGGCGATGACAGGTAAAGGACTCTGCAGGAGGAACAAAACCCTGTGGCTTCTGACTCTCTGTACTTGTGTCCAGTGACAATTTAAAACAACAAAGGGTGCAACCCCACCAACTTTCACATGCCAAGAACTCTACGCTCTGCAGAGGAAGCTCTGCATTCCAGAGCTGGAGGGACTCCCAGGGGACACTGTACACGGGGGTTTCTCTCGTCCATCTCAGGGCCCCTGCCCTCTTAAACTGTGCTGCTGTGACAGACACATGTGGGCAGCTTTAACCAGCAGGAACTGGTTTTCTCTCCGTTTAGGGGAATGGAAGTCCAGATGCTGGGTGCCAGCTCTAGGCACACTCTGGTGGCTTTGTGGTAAGAAGCTGCCTTGCCAACCCGAAGGCACACAATTAGAATCCACGAGCTGCCCTGCAGGGGAAAGATGGGGAATTCCTGCGAGATTTACTGCCTCTGAAAGGTGCCGGAGGTCCAGCTTCGAGTCAGTTCTGACTCCATGATATACAACAATAGCTCTAAAAGGATTCATCCCTGCTGGCACTGACCATCCTCAAGGGACTTGCCACCTCTTCCCCAACTCGGCTCTGCTCACAGGTTCAGTATCTGTAATATCTCAAAGGAGATCAGCTAAAGGCCACTGCCCCTTGCACTGCTGGGAACAAGCCGGAGAGTCTGGGAACAACATCAATCAGTTGATATGGAATCAATTCTGATGTAAGTCAACTCCTGGTGTGTCAGAGCAGGACCAGGCTCCCACTTTCCAGCAGCTGGGACCTTCAGTAGTAGATCATCAGGCCTATATGCTTCTTGACAAGTTCACACCACAAGCTTTTCAGTTAACAGCCAAGCCTTTCCCATTTGAAATGCTCAGCAGCATCGCCTGGGGCCTGGAGAGAGAACAATGCAGAGGCACGTGGTGTCAGGGCCTTTATTCAAGAAGGTACAGAGCATTTGCAGTCGGTTGACAGGCACTGTGTATGGGGCTTCTGGAACATTCCCATTTCTTCCATGCGTCATGGGAAGAGAAGTGCAGAGAGAAGGGTGAGCTACTCTGGGGGAGCCTGCCTCTCCTAAAGAAGCCATAGGCATGAGAGGGAACACCTCTTTTCTACCCAGTCCCCAGCAGGGGTTACATACATGGGGCTTACCTGGATCGGGTAAACTATATAGCAATAAAGGAGTATAGTCCATCTTGGGGGCTGGGGCTGCTTCTAGTGCTTCACCAAGTGGGGAAGAAAGGCAAAGCTCTAATGAGAAACAAAATCCAGCCTCTCAGTCTTAGTGTTCTGTGCAATTAAAAAAACCAAACCCATAACCAATGAAATAAATATAACTTACAGACTTTGTACACGACACTAAAGGCAAGTCTGAAGGAGCTGGCGGAAGCTTGTATAAATGCTAAGTGGTGCAAACGGGGGTGTGGGTGCCCAGGGCCATGGAGGCAGGGTGGGAGGGCTGGCACCCTCAGCAGGTCCTGTCCCCCAGCCTTACTCCCACCCAGGCCACTCGGGGCCGTGGGACCAGGGCTGAGTGGATGTGGCCTTTCCATGAGTGAAACTTCTGGCAAGTTCCACTCCAGGATCCATCTCTCTCCCTGGGGACTAGAAGCGAAGAGGCCAGAGGTCAGGGCAATGGGGCTGGAAGCAAAAGGGTGGGAGGGAAGAACCTGTGTAGTAAATACATTTTAAAAACCTAAACAGAACCACTCTAAAGAAAAGAGATACTGCTCTACACCACTTCCACATCTATAAAGCAAAGACCTGCCAGTGATGGGATCCTGAGGACTTCTGTGAATAAGCCAGCATCCACACACAGCTGTTGACAAACATCCAGTGCCCACTTAGAGTTCTTGAAAGTATCCTCACCCAAAGGTTAAGTGGGTCACTTGGACTTTTTGTTCATATTGTTTGTTTTCATTCACAGAAAGAAGGGAGTCTGCGCTGACCCACAGCTTGAATTAGTGATGTCCCCTCAAAGCTGGCCAGGTGGCATGGGGATGAGGCCATGTGGGCCCTTCAAGTCCACAAGTTGGACTCTCAGCCCTGTCCCTCCTTGCTTGCTGGTCATGTGTCCTTCCAGGTCCCCTGGGCTCCCCTTAGGTGGGACCTTCCAGGAAAGTGCCCACACAGGAGCTCACCACTGCTCTGAACAAGAGCCAGGCAGTTTAAAAGTGGTTTCATTTTATGAAAGCTGCCTTGTACATCCCTATTCCCCCACCCCCACCACTGTCACTCACCAGAACAAAAGGGGAAATACACATGTCACACGGGCAAGTTCCCTCTGAGACCCTGGAGGAGAAGGCATCCTGGGGTCCCCACTGCAGCCACATCTCCTGCTGTACACTTTCTCTGCTATTGCCCCCAAGGCAGCTGCCCACCCACTAGCCAGAGGGTGCCTACTGCCTGTACCCAGGACAGGTGACAGCCAGAAACGACCTGGGCACAGCATTCTAAACAGGGATGAGTCGAGCTCTATTCTTTACAAGTCATATCATTTTTACATCGTCAGGAATGTAGACTTACTTGTTTTACAATTAGAATGAAGTTTTAAAATTAGTTCCTCACAAATCTTTAAGCAGAATAGAGACCCAGGTGGAGTCCCCTGCCCCCATTACATACCCGGAGGCCCTCACATAGCAAGGAGAGAAGGGTCAAAGGTCTTCAGGGGAGAAATGGCTAACATGGGGAGTCAGCATCCTGGCTTCCTCACTGCCCCGCTGGGGACCCCCAAACCTGGGAGAGGAGCCCCAGGTGCGCAGGCAGGGGTATGAACCACAATTTCCGGCCTGGGGATGTGAGGCAGTAAGAAGAGCATCACCTCTCCCCAGACTGGGGTATCAGATACCCCACAGGCACGCAGCTGCCACTAACATGCGGCAGTTAAGGTGGATTAAAGAACAGCTTCTGCCTGCCTCGTCCTGCGGATGCTCGCACCCTCCTGGGGCTGGCCCAAAGGTGGAGGCTTTTGGGCTCAAATGGATGGGGATCGGTGCTTTTGCAGTTCTAGGGAGATCAAGGCTGCTCTGGGAATCCCTGCACTGCTGATGTCTTCTTACCCTGGTCAATGTGGTTTTCTGTCTCTGGTATCCAGAACCCATAACATATGGGATTCTTAAATAGCCCAGTTCAGCTCAGTCCTGACTTAGAAGCTGCAAGAAGGGGCTGTGTTATCACTCATGGTCATTGGGGGTGGCCCCCACTCCAGCACTACCCTGACCCCTAAACGCCTTCCCCTCCAGGAATCTGAGTTTGAGACCCAGGCCCTCCTCTTCTGGCAGGTGGTCCTATTTACAGAAACAAAGCAAGGCCCCACTCCAAGCCTTTACATGAGGGATGCCCCGGGAGACCAGATCCTGTCTCCTCTTCTACTGAGTTTTGTAGTGCGGTTCGGGCGGAGGTGAGGGGACAGGAGGAGGGTGGGGGGCTCAGGCGTCCCCGTCCTCCATGGCCGTCAGGATGTCGATGAGGTTGTTGAGCCCTGACAGGTAGCCGTCCTCACGGTTGCCCTCCTGCCAGGGTACATCGTGCTGCAGGGTCTGGCCCTCGGGCAGGGGCGTGGTCTTCCCGAAGTCAATCATCCACACCTTGGCCTGCTCCTTCTTGTCATGGATGAAGAGGAGAGAGCTGCCAATGACCTGGGGGCAAGGGCAGGAGGGGTTCATGGAGGCGCTGGAGGTCGTGTGGAGGCTGTTATGACACTTAGAACCAGGACCCTCCCATCCAAGTCCTCACAGCACCCAGCGCCAGGACCCTTTATACCCAAGTCCTCACAGCACCAGGACCTCCGACACCCCAGTCCTCACAGCACCTCACTCCACTTGAGGGGATGTGAGGGGAAAGTTGTCATCAGGAGGACCCATAGTGTGTCAGGTCAGGTGAAGAGCCCTAGGCTGGCACTTCCACTTTCAGGGTGGAGCCATTTTCTAGGGGCTCAAAACATGGCAGATAACAGATTCCGTTGCTATGTGACCAATGGCCCTTATTTACTACAGCTTGTGATCCCTAATATGTCCACATCCTAGAACCTCTCCTGGATCCTTCTGTGGGGCACGAGCGGGGCTGAGGGGCACTGTAGCTTCCAGATCCCAGGGCTGGGGCCCTCATTTGGAAATCCTGAGGCTGGAGAAGGGACCTAACCTTTTTCTTAAGACCTTAAGTTTATGAGTGACTCCAGAAAGAACACAGCAATCAAACACACATACCCCCAACTCCTAAAGGGGATGTTGGGGGAAGGTGGGGCTCAGACTGACTGAGGGAGGTAAAAAGTTCTGGGGCTTTGGAGTCATATGTAGGGCCTGGGCTGTGGTCTGTTCATGAAGGAGACGGCTGAAGAAACACTGGCCTAGGCTAGATGTTCCATCAGGAGGGGACACAACAGGTCTAGGAGGAAGTAACCCAGAAAGAGTGTGGTATCCCCACAGGTAAGGGGAGATATGGACAATGAGAACCGTGGGAGAGTCTGCCTCTGTCCTCCCTCCCCAGGTCCTCATGGGTGTCCCGCAGATCACCATGTGCCACCACTGGATCCCAATCTAGGTGAAAGGGGGAGAGAATCCTTGTGCAAGACAGGCTGTGTTGGTGGAGAGGCTGTGCTGGCAGAGGGGCTGTACTGGCAGAGGGGCTGTGCAGGTGGAGGTGGAGGGGCCGTGCGGGTGGAGGTGGAGGGTGGAGGCAGAGGGGCCGTGTGGGTGGAGGTGGAGGGGCCTTGCGGGTGGAGGTGGAGGGACTGTGCAGGTGGAGGTGCCATGCAGGTGGAGGTGGAGGGTCTGTGCAGGTGGAGGCGCAAGGGACTGTGCAAGTGGAGGTGGTGGGGCTGTGTTGGAGGAGAGGCTGTGCAGGCAGAGGGAGTATGTGGGGGGTATATGGAGTGTGGTGTATAGGGTGTAAAGAGTGTGTGGAGTGTGGTATGTGGGGAGTGTGTGTGATGTGTAGAGTGTCGTATGTGGGGACTGTGTGTGGTGTGGGGGGGTATGCATGAGGTGTGGGCGGTGTGATGTATGAGGTCTGGGGTGCTGGGGGCCCTGGATTCCTGGTACTGAGATCTTACAAACCATCCAGGGAACATACCGACAACCCCCAAATCCTCTCTCCTAGGGCATCTGTCCCCTCAAAGGCTAGAAGTAGAATGATTCAGGTCTGTCCCAGGATGGCCCGGAGGGTCAGCCTGCCTGCTCTAGAGGCCAGAGGTCCTGAGGTGCTTGTGGGGTTCCTTAGCCACTCTGGTAGCTGAGAGAATTCCTGCCCCTGGAGTGGTCAGAAGTCCCACCACAGCCACTAGCTTGAACAAGCCTAGAGAGCTGGGGGGACAGGAAGAGGAGGTGTAATCCTAGAGTGGTCACCCAGGAAGCCACACACCATGGTTCCTGGGAATGGGGGGAGGTGAATTAGGCTGGCCTGGTTACGGCCAGAGCAATTCTAGAAACATCCTTGGGCTTCTGGTAAGTCTGACAACCCAGCCACTCCTCACGTGAAGAGACCTCATAGGCCATGGGCAGCGGCCCAGCACATGGATCCCTCCCTGAGAAGGCCAACCCTCCAGTGCCCTACTGCCGTACCTCATGACACTTGAAGAAAGGAGACACCTCGAGAGTGGCCCGGATGTCCTTCAGCCGGTCCCGGTAGGCAATCTGGAACAAAGATGACCAGGGTTTTATGAATAGTTTAGATACACTTTGTTGTCAGGTACCACTATGTCTCAGAGAGCCTATGCCAAAAGGCCTGACTCCTGCTCTGTCCTCAGGGGAAGGGGAGGTGGGGTTTAAGCTACACTGAGTTCATGAGGGTCACCTAGTGTCAGAAGCAGGAAGGACTTCGGACCCTGATCTCATCTATAAGCTCTGGTGGCTCAGTGGTAAGAAGATGCACTGCCAACCCAAAGGCACATGGTTCGAATCCACCAGCTGCTCCACAGGAGAAAGATGGGCAGTCTCCTTCCATGAGATTAACTGCCTCTGAAAACCTGCTGGAGAGTCAGCTGTTCCCACAACATAGCCTCATGTATATGCAAGAACCAAAGGCATGGAGTGAGGACCCAGCAGGCGCCCACCTCACACGGCTGGGTGCTGGGGAGGCCCACCTCCACACAGCCCTGCTGCCCTCCTGGCCCCAATTTTTTCTGGAGTGTGGCGGCATAAGCCTGGCGTTCTGAGAGCCCAGTTCCCATGCATCTTCCTGAATACAAGCTTCAGTGCCCCACGTTTGGAGAAAGTGCAGTCGTGAATTCTCCACCGGCCAGCTTTCCACACTCTGCCTCTCTAGGGGCAGCTCTGTGAGTCTGGCCAGCCTCGGGCCATGGAGCCATCAGGGAGGCCTATCTGTGCAATATAGGCACTCGAGGTCTCCCAGTGCCCATATGATATAACCTGGCAGGTCGGGTGCCAGCTCGCCTGGCCTCAGAGTGTTCTATAGTGGCCATCGTTGGGCAGCCAAGTGGGCACAGGTTCTGAGGAATAGGGTGGCTCCCCCACAGGCCTTAGGCATGACTGGCTGGAAAGGGGGAATGTTGTTGTTGTTGTTGTTATGTGCCGTCTAGTCGCTTGCGACTCATAGCGATAAATCAACACTAATCAACTCTTGAGCTTTTTTGGCTAATGGCCCATGGCAGGCTGAGGCCTGTTCTCCCAGCATGTACCAATATTTACAAAAACTACTTTTGGTGAGAGCCAAAAAAATCACTAAGTGGGGAAATAGGCAGGTGCTAACAAGGTCCTTCCTGGCTTTCTCATCCTCCCTGTCCATGTAAATTTATTCCATAAGGAAAAAATAAAGGGGGAATAGAGGATGAATATTTGGAGGTCCCCAGAGCTGGAGAAGGGGGCAGGGGAAGTTCAGGATCAGCCAGTTCAGTTCCAGTTTCCGTGAAGAAAAGGCAGTCGGGTGAGCAAGCTCGGAATATGGCACTTCTCAGAGTGCAGGGGCCCCTGCATTTCAGGGCTGGGCTACGACGCTGGCCATTACAGGATACCCGTCCACCAGGACAGCTGTGGAACACCCCTTAACTATTATGACTGAATCATATCCCCCAAGGTATGCCAGAGTCCTAACCTTGATCCCAGGGTGTAACCTTGTTTGAGGAAAGCGTTTTTCTTTGCAGATTTTAGCAGTGAACAAGAGTTCCTCTCTCAAAGCCCCAAAAGGAAGTCAGCCCTGTCCCTGGCATGCCTGCCCAGCCTCCAAACTGGGAGACAGTAAATGTCTGTTCTGTAAAGCCACTTGATCTGTGGCCACTCATGGATGCCGAGGAGACCAAGACACCAGTTCAGCTGGGAATCAGATTCTGATCCACCGGTCAGGCCAGAGGTCCAGCCTGCACAGTCCTGCAGCTGCCAATGCAAATACAGGCACCTCGTCAGGAAGGAGCGCTGCCAACTCCCCAGTGCCGAGAGAGCCTGGTGGACAGAGCTGGGGAGGGCAGTGTGACCAGCAGTGTGACCATCACACCTCCTGCCTCAGCTTCACTGCAGCGGTCAGGGCCCTCAGGCCAATCAGCCCTGGGCTTGAATTCCAGTTTCATCGCTTCCTGTTTTGTGTCCTTGACCTTGGTCTCCTCATCTGTAAAATGGGAACAAGAAATGTCCATTCCCACCAGAGGGAGGCTCTGCAGATTCAGTGGGAGTTTAGGAGGTGGTGAGAGGGTGCTGGGGAGACAGCGGTACTGTTCTCATAAGAGAAGGGACAATGTTCGAGCTGTGACACTGATGCTTAAGGATGGAAGGAGTGGGTACTCAGTGTCCCCGTTTTCCCACCAAGAGGAGAAAACATATCGTGTGTTGCTCACCCTCCTGGCACAAGTTGCATGTGGGCATCCCTTCACTGGACCCGAGACCCCTGGTCTCTCCTTAGAAGCCCCCCCACGAGCACCTCCACGTACCAGGATGTTCCGGTTCCCTTGGGTGAACTCTCTGAAGGCCTCGGTCACCTGCTCCCTCGTCTTGGTCTTCTTGAAATCCCGGTTCACAGAGCCATCTTCCTTCTGAAGTGGAGAAGAAGGCCCACCCAGGAGGGCAGCGTCAGGAGACCCAGTGGCGACACTCACCCACCAGTGACCCCAAGTGCTGGCCATGGAGCAGAGGATGAGCATCGAAACCCTGGTCCTGGCCTCCACGCCCTCACAGGGCGGGGGGGCAGCTGGGAGCCAGGCACAGCGGAAAGTGCAGGGGCTTAATGGCCTGGGGGGGGGGTTAATCTAGACAGTGCAAGGCTGGGGTGCCTTGTCCCTCAGATGGAAGGTGGCATGGGGGACAGCCTAGGGCGAGTCACAGCATGCAGAGCACAGACAAGGCCCACAGAGAGGGGCCAGAGGTCACCTCCCTCAGCAGACATCCCAAGGCGCCTTCCTGTGAATTTAAGTTCTTTTATTAAAAAAAGAAAGTTGCCACCAAATCGGCCCTGATTCATGGCAACCTCCCCCGTGAGGCACAACTGTGTTCCCCAGGGCATCCGACCACCAGCGTTTAAAAGCCTTTCTCCTGAAGCACCTCTGGGTGAACTCAAACCCCCAGCCCTTGGCTTGGCAGATGAGAGCAGGGATATCTCCACCCATAAGGGCCTCTTCTTTCATCCTGCCATCGCTGTCAGGCCGAACGGCCTCAGCAAGTGTGTGTGACAGAAGGAAGCCGGCCCCTGCACTGTTGGGCCTGAGTCCACGGCCACAGCTGCTGTGCCAACCTGTCCCTCAGTGCCACGATGCCAACCCCACCATGCAGGTCCGCCCTGCCCTGCCTCCACCAGAGCTGCTCCTGGCCCAGGTGCCATCTCTGCTCCAAGCTGTGAAGGTGCAGCACGTGGGGCTCAGCTTGCCAGCGAGAAAACTGGTTCTTTACACAAGGGTGGCTGTTGCTGAGTGTCATCAAGTCACCCGTGACTCACAGCAACCCTACGAAGGAGGATCTGAGCCCTGTCCCGTCCTGTGCCACCCTCAGCACCTTTGATACACTCAAGCCCACTGTTAAGTCGATGTGTCAGTCTATCTTGGTGAGGGTCTTCCTCTCTTTCACTGACCCTCGAAGCATGATGTCTTTTCTCTAAGGGCTGGCCCTTTCCGACAACACGTTCAAAATACGTTAGATGAAGCTTCATCCTTGTCCTTAAAGGAGCGTTTGGCCACACTGCCCAAAAGACAAAACACAACTAAAAACCAGTTGCTTCTGCGTCACCTTGGTCTCCTGGTGCCTCCACGAATATCCATGTAGGACAGTAGTCCATTGCCTTCGGAGGCACCAGTGGGCGAATTCCAATAGCCACCTTTTTAGTTTACTGGCTTAGACATATCTGCCATGCAGGGAGAACTAATCATTGCCTCCAGCATCAGGATGGGAATTAGTTAAAGCATGGCGTTGCTGTGACTGGCCTGGGGTGGAGGGAGGCAGTGGACAGCCCGACATGGCTGACCTGCCATAGAGCCCTTTCCACAGAGCAAGGGCAGAAAGACTTCCTATCCAAGAAAGACAACTTCTGAGTTGATGGGCCTTTGGCCCGAGAAGACCAGCTGTTGTTAGCTTTCCCCACAGACAGACAGTGGACAGAAGCTAGAACACTCTGCTTGAGGGGGAAGGAGGAGGAGAAAACTGGATTTGTTTTAGATATGGGCTACACATGTCAACATCAAGAAAACAAAACTCCTCACCCACCAGGCCAATTGGCAACACTGTGAAAGACAGAGAAATTGACAGCTCTCAACTATCTCATCTTCCTCAGATCCACCATCAACAATCTTGGTACCAGCAGTCATAAGCCGTATTGCTGGAAAATCCTCTGTCAAGGCTCTGCTCCAAGGTGCTAAAGAGCAACGAAGTCAGTTTAAAGAGTAAGGTGCACGTGGCCCAAGCCAGGGTCTTTTCAATTACTTGCTCTACATCTGGAAGCTGGACAATGAATGACGATGACAGAAGAAGCTGTGCCTTTGAGTCATGGTGTTGGAGAAGAGCACCCCATGTCCCATGGACTGACAAAGGAACACAGAAATACGTCCAGGAGAAAGTGCAACAGGGGGCTCCTTGGAGGCAAGGAGGGTGACACTTCCTTTCACATACTTTGTGCATATTGGTGGGAGGAGCCAGGCTTGGAGAAGGAAATCATGCTGGGAAAGATGGCGGGTGTGGGGGGGGTCAAAAAAAGAGAGGAAGACCCTCAACAAGGTGGACTGACAAAGGGACTGCAGCAAAGGGCTCAAGGGTGTCAGAGACAGCGAGGAGAGTGCCAGACAGGGCAGGGGTCAGGCCTGCCGTTCAAAGGGTCATTGTGAGTCATCCTCAACTCAGAGATGACACATAACAACAGCAAGAGGACAAACATGTAAGATGCACTAAACCTGAGGGTTTTTTTATAAAGAGGGGAGGCGGCATAGTGTTGTGTGTGGCACTCGCAGCCACAGTCACGTGCACACCTCGGCAGGACTTTGTTATGGGGTACACATGGCCACTAGGAGCTGGGAACGATTCAACGGTTCCTCACAGCACAATACAACGTCCACAGTCCTGGGAATTCCCCATACGCTCGTGTGGGGCTATGCCAACGAGGTGTGTGTGTCCCATCAAAGGGATCGGACAGTTTGTTAACAGCAAAAATGTGCAGGGAAGCCTGCTGGGTGGGATCACATGGACAAAGTGTATGGACCCTAATGAGATAAGTGGTCAACAGCTGCCATCCTGGGAGGCTTCCCAGAGTTAATCGCAGAGTGGGACGGGGGACGACTACCACAGGAAAAGAGTGGACAGGAGTGAGTCTTTTAGGCCCAGGGCCCCTGTGCTGAAAAGCCTCTGGGCCCAAAAAGAAGCTGTACACCATTGGAGACGGTGAGAGACGGCAAGAAGCAGAGGAGCTGGAAGACAGTGAAGCACCAAGAGCTTGGGGACTGGAAGCTTGCTGGCTCAGTGAGTGCCTTTGGCATCTACTGGTGACACTTTGTAGCACTTACACTAACAGGGTAGAAGCCATGCTGGCCCAGGAGACCGAGGGACCAAGAGCCAAAGGCCAGCTGGGAGCCAGGATAGGCCTGCTGGTGGGCAAAGGCCGGAGGTGGCTGCGCTGGGTGAGGAACTGCGTCTCAAGGTCTGATTCGGAATGGTAGTCCATTTCTTGCCCAATAAAGCCCAGAATCAGGCGTATAATCATTAAGTTCTGTGAGGCCACTGAATGAATTTCTGAGCCCAGCAGAGTGCTGTGGGAGGGAAAGCTGGTGTGTGTGTGTGTGTGTGTGTGTATGTGTGTGTGTGTGTGTGTGAAAATGTCCAAGAGTGGAGGGCTTGCCTTGGACTGAGGCTGCTGCCGAGTCATGCCCCCACCCGCCCCCGAAGCTACAGGCCAGATGCTGCCCATTTGTCATTTTTACTGAGGGTTTTGGAAGACAGGAAGGGGGAGGGTTTTCTCAGTCCAGAGCTCACCACACTGTCCCCATGTCCCCTCCACACCCCTGCTCCAGGGCTGAGAGACCAGCAAGCCCCATAACATACATCTTCCTGCCAGTCTGCACCAACAGAAGATGGCAGAGACTAAGGGTCCACCGTGCTGGGCTCGGCATGTCTGAGGAGTCTCATGCAAGTTTGTCAGCCAGATGTGCACAGGAGCCTGGGCACAGCAAGTCAAGACCCTTCACGGGGTGGACTCACAACCCGAAAAGAGCTTTCCAAATTGGGGTTGGCCAGAGTGCACCCCCACAGGTGTCACTGGGCACACTCGTTCTCTGTCCTGCCTCCATGGGCAGAGCAAGGCTCTGATGTCAAGGGGCCCCAACCCTGCTGGCACCCCCCTACTGGTCACTGGGCGGGTTCTCAGTGTGGGGTACAGTGATGTGTAGGGTCCTGAGGTGAAGCACCCCTGCCTTCTGTTCCAGGGCCTACCCCAGGCTAGCTGTCCCCACTTCTGACTGAGAAACAGGTAGCCATCTCGGCTCTGCCCTGACTCACCTTGATGCCCTCGATCCTGAACCCAAGGGTGGCTGTGGAGCTGATGGTCTCCCTCCACTGCATGTAGCGTGGTTTGGTGACAGCCCGCTGGGCGTTCTCCTCCTCGGTCGGGGCCTTGGGGTCTACCTCAATCATCTTCTGGTACATGTCCTTCCGCAGGCTGGGCTTCTTGCGGGCCTTGGTCAGCTCCTCCTCCAGGTAGGTCCTGTGTGGAGGAAGGTGGCATGAGGACACTAATTAGAGGGGGAAAGTTTGGAGCAAAGGTCATGGGTGAGGTTCAAAGTCAGTTTGGTGGTAGGGCCTGGTCGGCCAGGGTGGGTAACATGATGCACCTGGCAGCTTCCCGCACAGGGCCACTTCCTTTCAGGATCACTCAGAAGGCCTGGCAAAGCCGATGGTGCACGCCTGCCTTTGAGGAAACACCAGGGCCAGCAGAGTGGGAGGGGATGCAGGCTGGCTCAGCGGCTTGTCCTGGGACTGGACACTGTCCCCACCCTGGCTGGGTCAGTGGTCAGACACCTCCACTAGGTGAGCAAGCACCTGGCTGTTATAGCCTTGGCTCTGTTCTGTACCCCAAACCCCACCCAGTATGCCTCTCCTCCACAGCCGGGGGCCAGCCTGCCCTCAGTGTTACAAGCACAATCTAAAGAGGGTGATCTTGAGTATAAAAGGCAGGCTGGACAGTGGTCTCGTGGTACAGAACAGGGGGGTCTGCAATGTGGATAGACCTCTGGGTGCCTCACCCTCTGCTCTGCCTGCAGCTGCTTCCTCGACCCCCATTTTATCTCATCAGCTCCAGGGCCAGGATGTGAAGCATCCAGGTCAAAGGCCTGAACAGTCACCCTGCCCTGCCCTGCCCGCCACACAGACTAGCTGGGCTGAGTCAGAGGCAGAGCTCCCAAGTGGCAGGCTTGGCCTTGGACTGTTGGAAGGGCGCCCACCTGTGCACCCACGTCCATGCTGCACCAGACTTCCACAGAGCTCCGTCCCTACCACCTGGCCCCTTCCTGTTCCATTCCAGCCCGTACAGTAACCAGGGCCCTCCCCAGAGGCAACAATGGGGAAGCTTCATCTCACATGCTCTGAGCACGTTGGAAGGAGCCAGGCCTTGGAAAAAGACATCAAGCTGGGAAAGACAGAGGGTCACCCAAAGAGAAAGACCCTCAATGACATGGACTGACACATATTAGGACTTGGAGATGATGGTTCGCAGGACAGGCAGGGTTCAGAGCTGTTGTTTACAGAGTTGCTGAGTCGTACTAGACATGACAGTGGTCTAGTGGTAAGAAACTATGCTGCATTCCCAGAGGCACACAGTTCAAATCCACCAGCTGCTCCTCAGGAGAGATGTGATTTACTCCCCCTGAAAGTCCACAGGCATATCAGCTATGAGCAGGTTCTAACTTGACAGCACACACAACAAAAACATCATGCCCACAAATACGCTCAGAGGTTGCTCATCACAGTCATGAACCAGAAATCAGCAGTGTCAGCTACAGGAGAGGGAAGTTTCTGTGCTGGCCTCCACGTGGGCGGGAGCTGCCCACAGAGGCGGCGCCACCAGCAGCCGATGTCCTCCCTCATGGGGCCCCATGCTGGGCTCTGCACTCCACACTGCCGTCCAACCCTCACCCCGCCTGCTGTGTCACCACCACACCTTCTCCAAGCACTTGGTCTGGGACCCAGAACCGAGCCGAAGTCAGAGACCTCTGTATCAACTGATGTTTGCACTGAAACAAGCAGGGAGAAGTATTAAGTACGTACTTGGGCCGAGTTTTCTACAATATTCTGGCACGTGATAGTCCCTGGCTACGTGCACGTGCACACACACACAGAGTGACAAATTGAACACCAGCAGATGTGTGCAGAGACAAACATACACGCCCCCACACCTGTGTGTGCCTGTGACCACAGCCCGAGCCTGTGGGTGAGACAGGACAGTGCTGTGTCAGGCCACGTGAGCGCTGGGCCACACGCTGGGTGCGGCCTGGGCTGGAAGGTGGCGGCTGAGGCGCTGGGTGAGCGGCACACCTGGGCGGCTGCACTACCATAAAGAACTGCCACATGGCTCCTTAAACAGGAAGCAGGACTTGGTGTCAAATCCCTCGTCATGCTGGGCCTTCTCCAGAAAGAATCCACAGTGCTGACCTCGCCAGGGTGGAGACCCTTGGCAGACCCCCAGCATCTCAGAGAACCTACAGGCTAAATCAGGCCTGCCATGGAGGGTTCCTGAGGCCACGATGGGGGCAGGCTTGAACAGCTTGATCGTCCTCCCACAGAGGGGCGGTTTTTAAGCACTGTCAAGCTGGGACAGACTCACAGCTGGTCCTCCAGCAGTTTTCGAGGCAGGAAATCGCACAGGAGAAGCTAGCAGGTTCTCAGTGCTGATCTTCCCGTGAGCCCGAGCACTGTGCCACCAGGCTCCTTGTGCAGTTGGGCAGCCCAGCACGGAGAGGACGTGATGGTTCACTGAATGTGCTAACTGGCCGAGGCCACAGCTTCCAGTGCTTCAAATGCTCTGTGTGCTGCTCCATGACGCAATCTGACAGAGACGCCACGTAAGCATCTCCCACAGAGTAATGCGGGACACTCACAGGTCACCAACACCTTACAATTACAATCGCATGAGCCAGTTCTCTCTCTCTCTCTCTCCACACACACGGGACACTCACAGGTCACCAACACCTTACAATTACAATCGCATGAGCCAGTTCTCTCTCTCTCTCTCTCTCTCCACACACACACACACACACACACACACGTGTGTGTGTGTACTCACACCAATATGTGAATATATTGTTGTTAGGTGCCGTTGAGTCAAGCATGACTCATAGTGACCCTATGAACAAAAGATCTGAACCCAGTCCTGTCCTGTGCCATCCTCACACTTTCTGACACACAAGAGCCCACTGCAGCAGTCACCATGTCAGTCCACCTGGTTGAGGGTCTTCCTCTCCTTTGCTGACCCACCACCCTTCCCAATATCATGTCCCTCTCCAAGGAATAGCACCTCCTATCAATCAGTATGTCCAAAGTATGAGGTGAAGCCTCATCCTTCCTGCCTCCAAAGAGCACTCCAGCTGCACCCTCTCCAAGACATATCTGTTTGTTCTCTCGGTAGTCCACGGGATGTTCAGTGCTCTTCTCTAACACCACAGGTCAAAGGCATCAATTCTTCTTCCGTCATCCTTATTCATTGTCCAGCTCTCAGATGCATAGCAAGAGATAGAAAAGACTATGGCCTGAATCAGACACACAGACAGACACACACACACACACACACAAAATCTGATATTGCTGTTAGGTGCTATTAAGCCCACTACGACACACAACACTATGAATAACACCTCTGAAAAACCTCAACAGCTCTGAACCCTGCCCTGCGCTGAGCCCATGCCAGCGTCTCATACACCTGCCCCCACCTGTCCCACAGTCACTGTGTCAATCCATCTCATCCAGGTCTTCCCCTCCTGCGCTGACCCTTCACCATTCCAATATATATAAGCATATGTATACAAAAAACATATACACACATCTCTATTTTTTATATACATATATGTATATATATATATATATATATATTGTTGTTGTTAAGTGCCGTCGAGTCACAGGCGACTGATAGCGACCCTATGAAGGAGAGTCCTCGACGCTTGGGTGCCTTTCATCCTCTCTCCAGGTTCATAGGGTTTCTGGAGACAAGCTATTACAGAAGTGGATGCCATTCCTCCTTCCAAGCTTGTTTTAATCGGGGAGCTCCACCCCACTCTCTGTCCGCATTGGGTAGCTAACCATTAACGCATTTGACACGTCGGTGCCATAATACATATATACATACATACATACATACATATACACACACACATTTACAAAATAAAAATAGATCTGGTATATATATCTTTACATTTCAGAGAGACGTGTGTGTGTGTGTGTGTGTGTGTGTGTGTGTTAGGGAGCTCTGGTGGCTTAGTGGGAACGAGTTGTGACGCACACACATGCTATCACTGGGGCTGCTTCTCTGCAGAGCCCTGGATCAGAAATCCCAACTCTGCTGACTGACATGTGGCCCAGGGTGTGTCCCCTCAACCAAGTGTTGGTATCCTACTGCTCAGAGGAAACTGGACCCATTTCAGGGTGGTAGTGAGGAGCAATGTGGCCATCAGGGCACAGTCTCAGCTCCTGAATGGCTGAGGGTGGGGTGTGAGGCTGATACTGGGGAGGAAACAGACCCTTTTCCCCAATGGCCTCCTCTCTCCCTTTCGGGGTCCCTGCCCAGGACTGGACTGGTGGGCTCAGCCTCACTGCTCACTCTCCTTCTCCATCCCTGAGGGGCACGGGGAGGCCAGTGGTGGAGATGGGGGCCACCTGGGTAGTCAGATCCCTGCCCACCGTAGCAGAGTACAGGCGCCTGGGCGTCGGCAGGGCACAGAGGCCACCGGTGGGGCTTCTGGTCTCACATAAATTACGGCTGCAGGTCCTCACACAGGACGTGCTGTTTTGGCCACAGTCTGAGAGAATCATGGGAATATTTTTTCCATTTGTTTTTGCTGCAACCTGACCGTCTTCCCCAGCTGCAGATAGGTTGAGTGCGGCTGGGGTCTGGGCCCAAAGACTGAGCTGGGCTTCCACAAGACAGCACTTCTGGGGTCTTCTGGGGACACAAACAAGATGCTGGGGGGCAGCCCTGACCAAGGCGCTGGTGGAGGGAGAGAGGCCAGAGCAAGAGGGAACACCTGGGGTCTGTATTTCTCCTCCACCACCCCTTCACTCTGTCCTGGGGGTGCCAGGGGACCACCAATAGGCCGGCCTGTGGTCTAACATCATGACATAGACCTGAGGAGGGAACTAGTGGACAGGAAAGCTGATCATCTGTGGTCACCCCTCTCCTGTCCTGCCTGCCTGCTGTTCTCTCCTACCGCTTTTTCAATTTCTTCTAATAAAAAATCAAATTATTTATATTGTTTAAACAAAAGTCACTCCCTGTTCCTCGGGGTGACGTGCGGCTGGTCAGGGTGATGCCCTCAAACCTCCCCTCGCATCGTGACAGGCCAGGAAAGAAAGGGCCCCAGGTGGCTGCTGGGAATGAAGAGATGTTTGAAAGGGGATGATCAGGTGACCTGCCAAGATCCCAAGCTCAGGACAGCAACATCTCAGGCCCTTGTCCCCCAAAACTGTTCGCATCCAAGCTCTGCCTACTCCTACCATCTCCCTCCCCTTTCAGGTCACATGCAGCCCCTGCAATCCCTCCTGATTGAGCTTGGGCCTGGCCACTGCTGACAGGGCCTCCAGTGGGAGTTCATTCACCAAAACCAGACCCACTGCATGCAAGCACCTCAGACTCCTCCTTAGGACTCCTCCTCTGGTTCCGGCAATCCTCGTTTTCCAGAGAACGACTCCATACAGCCTTCAAGGCTGTAAGCTTCATGGGAGAAGATGGCCACATCTTTGCTCCACTGCACTACCAGGTGGGTTCAAATGCCAGTCCAGAAGTGGGCAGTGAAGCCCAGTGGTCTGCAGCACCACCGCACTGCCAGTTCTCCAGGAGGCCAATCACCCCTGCTCCAGACTCATCTGGCCCTGAGCTCCCTGCTGCCTGGCCAGCTGACACACCACTCCCGAGCACCAGGGACACGAGTCTTCTTTAGCAAACCAGCATGTTCTTCCGGCAAGCTCTGATGGCCTCGTGGAAAGAGCCCATGCTGCAATCCCAAAAGCATGCAGTTCAAATCTACCAGCTGCTCTGTAGGGGAAGGACTGACAATCTCTTCCCGTGTGATTTACTGTCTCTGAGAACTTGCTGGAGAGTCAGCTGTGTGCTGGTTCTGATTTGGTGGCACACAACAACAACAACAGCAATGAGAAGTATGTTCTATCAGCCAGCCCTGCATCCCCACAGCCCTGGCTGGGATGAATGAAAAGGCTCTACTCCAGCCTTCACTCGGCAGCAAACATGACATGGGAAAGGGCCAGCCTGAACTGAGCCAGCTCCCTGCACACTTTGCACATGGTGTCAGGTGGCCTGGGGGCTCCTGCTCAGTCCACAGCAGGCCCTGGTCCGGCCCCTGAATCTGGGGCTTGGCTGGCACCCAGGCATATGGGGGTTCTGAGCCGCTGTCTCACCTGATGCCCATCTTACAGTCCATCACGCAGGGTGAGTCGAAGTCAGCCAGCAGGTCATCCATCTGGTTGTAGCGCTCCCCATCCTTGACCACGTCACCATGGTAGGCTGGCACGAAGGGTTTCAGCACGTCGGTCATCAGCCGGTCCAGGCAACGCTGTTCTGACTCGCAGTGCTTCTTCAGGATCCGGCCATTGGCTGCGGCTTTGAAGCTCCCTGCAGACAAGGGATCAGGAGGCATTTGGTCCCCAAGACGCTTGGGATGCTGCAGCACTGGCCCTTGCAGGGAGAGGAGGGTTCCCAGGTTCCCACTGTGAGCAAGAGCCTTGGGGAGGTGATAGGCAGTGGGCATGCTATGAAGGTGGATGATGTCACAGGACTTGCTGAGGGATACGGGAAGGGAATGGGAAGGAGGGAGAGTTAACACAAGAGAGAGACAGCCAGGACTGCAGAGTGAACACCATGGACCATGCAGGGCCCGTGCTCGTTTATAAAGCAGTGGTTGAGAATCCAGACTGCACAGTCTCAGCAAGAAGCCATTCCTGGTTCTTTCCACCCCCCGGGGCACCCAGGGACCAGGCTCTCTACCAACAGGGAGGCTGGAAAGTCCCATCTACCTGCGTGTCCCGCCAGCTGGATCCAGGGGTACTTCTTCTTGAAGGACATGACGAAGGGAGACCAGTGCACCATGTTTTTGATCTTCCGCCATGATTTGCTCTAGAAAGAAGGCAGGCCAACAGGTCAGCGTTAGGAAGAGGACTGCCACATACTGGTCAGAACAAGTTCAAAGACAACCCACCGCCTGATGTCACAAGGTGGCAAGGACCTTGACTGACCACGGCATGGGGCTCTCATTCACGAGATTCAGTCAGAGAGGGATCTGACTCACGCTACAAACAGGTGGGGTCCAATGTCCCACAGCAAAGAGCACAGGTGCTCTCGAATCCGGACCTGACAGTGCCAGGTGGCAGGTGTTCTCTGGCCAGAGCTGATTCCTGCTCTTTCCTATCAGGGACACGACGCTCCAGCCCTGCATCTCTCATGTCCCCTCTGTGGGCCTCAGTCTCCTCACTGGTCTGGGCCGTGAGGCTCCCCAGGCTGATGGATAGTCTTGTTATATACCTCAAGTCAGATCTGACTCATGTCTGGCCCTTCAGCAGGTTTTCTGAGGCTGTTAATCACATGGGAGGAGACTGCTCATCATTCTCCTGCAAAGCAGCTGGTGGATTTGAACTGTGAGCCTTAGGGTTGGCAGTGTAATCCATGCCCACGAAGCCACCAGAGCTCCCTCAAGGCTCGACAGTCTGTTGTTAGGTGGCATCAAATTCGATAAGACTCAGGGTGACCTTAGCAGCAATGGATCTGTGCCCCGTCGTCTGTACCTGCACCATCCTCACTTTCTCTGATATCCTCGAGCTCACTGTTACAGTCACTGCATCAATCCACACCATCTCTGGAAAATGATGTCCCTCATGGCAGCATCAGGGGCCCTGCAGAGCCAGCACTACCCACTGTTGTGTGATCACCCCACGGAGGTGGTGGTACCTTGGGGACAGACTGGAGAGGGGCTTTGCAGGAAGTTCCCCTGGAGAGCCTTGCTCCCCCAGCCCAGCTGCAATGCACACAAGGGCAGTGGAATCCACGGTGACAAGGGACAAATCTCAGGTCTCTGTTGTGCTTCCCTTTGCTGCTTCTGCCTAGGACATTTCCTAAGTGAACCGCCAGGCCCCTGAGTGTGTGTGTCTGAGGATGTCACTGCGTGGGTGGCTGGGGGCTCGTTAACCTGCTGACAGGGAGTTCTCCCCAGTGCTCGAGGGGTTACTGTGAGTTCCCCTGAGAGGAGGCTGGTGAGCCAAAAACAGAGTACTCATCTGTTAGACTACTTTTTCAAATCCAAAATATGTTTCCCTCTCCAGCAATGAATATTTCTTGAGAAAGACTACCACCAAAGAGAGCCAAAATCCTAAGCCTGGGGAAGAGACAGTCTCTCTAACACATGGTGTTGGGGAAACTGGGTATTCATTTGCAGAAAAATCCAACAAGACTCTCCAAAGAGAAAAAGAGAATTTAGAGACCTGGGGTGGGGAGGCAATATTTGGCAGCGAGGCACTAGTATCTACCACTTACAGAAAACTCAACCAAAAATGGCAAACAATCCAATTAAAAAATGGACAAAACACATGACAAAACCCTCACCCAGGAGGCATCCAGACAGTTGACCCTCTGGGACTCCGAGCCCCATGGGGAAGCTGAGGACTAGGGTTTGCAGCAACTGGAAAATAAATTTGCTGGAAGTAGGAACAGAAGTCAGTTCAAAATGAAAGGCAGAGCATCCTGGCGGAGTGGGGTGAGTCCTGGCTAAGTGCTGACCCCTTGAACAAGTTACTGGCCTTCCTTGGACCCCTTTTCTCTAGTTTGTGAAATGAGAACACTAGCTCTAGTGGCCTCAGGGTAAGGAGCTGTGCTATCATCCCAAAGGCACGAGGTTCAAATCCATCAGGTGTTCTGCAGCAGAAGGATGGGCAATCTTCTCTTGTTTGATTGAACTGCCTTTGAAAGCCCACTGGAGGGTTAGCTGTGAGTTGGTTCCAACTCCATGGTACAAAATAATATAAATTCCCTGGACACCAGAGAGCAGAGCTTTCAGAAGATGCTGGGTATGGAGATGGTTGTGGAGAAATCCTTAGTCAACAGGGTGGACCAAGGGGCTCAGGTATCTCTAAAGCGGCCCCAGGCCTGTCAAGTGGGTGTCAGGTGGTGATGCCGTCATAGATACTGAGAAAGAATAGACCATTGAGACTTGGCCCAGAGCACATACAGCTCTCTGGAGAACTGCACAGACCTGTCAGTTCAGGAGAGGCTGTGGCCCTGGGAGGTGATGAAGACGAAGCGAGAGACTGTGCAACTCAAGGCCCAGTGACAGAGGGTGAGACTCCAGTCTCAGGACCTGACTCTGGAGGCCAAAGACCAGGGGTTCTGGAAAGGACAGCACCCTAGGTGTGTGTGGGGGTCAAAGGATTCAAAAGCCTCCAGAAGGACACCCTTCCTGCACCTCCCATGAATTCTGAGCACAAAGGCATTTAGCTTCCTTCCCTCCTCCATCAGCACAGAAACCAACAGCTTGGGAGCTCTCCCACCCCCAGACTGCCCAGCCGAGCCGGGACATGGCCAGTGGATGGTCCCCTGCAGAGGAACGCTGTAGATCTGCCCCAGGAGACCGCTCACACTGCTGCCAGCTGCCAGGGGCTTTCCTCAGGGAGCTAAAAGAGCAGAGCCAGGCTGTGCCCGCTCTGTGCCCCACTTGGCCGGGAAAGCACCAGCTGTGGACAGGGTCGAAGGCTGAGGGTCGCCCTACAACCCAGAAGTGGGGAAGAGGTTCCATTTCCTCACAGAGCACTCCACATTGGGAATAGGCCGGCTCCAGAAAAGATCACTCTCTGGGTAGTGGGGAGGCAGGTTTGGGGGCACAGCCTTCTCCACAGCCCCACCCTGTGAGAAGTCAGCACCCTCAGAAATGCAGTCTTGGCCCTGCCCCTAGTTAATTTAACCGAGTGGAAAGGAGCTGCACTGCCAACCCACAGGCAGTGGTTCGGATCCACTAGCTGCTCTGCGCCTCTGGAGGGTCAGCTAGTTCTGACTCACCATAGAGCACAACAGTCAGGAAAGACCACAGATCCTGGGACCATCTGGAAGACTCCACCCAGAGCAATCTACCCCCTTCACTTCTGGGGAGAATCTCAACAGCCTAGATATGACATTACAGTTCCAAGTCTGCCTCCAACTTCACAGGCTATTATTTTATCATTAGTGCTCCTGAGTGAACAACAGACCTGAACCCTGTCTCATCCTGTGCCATCCTCATCATCTCTGACACACTTGAGCCCATCGCTGCAGTCACTCTGTTAATCCATCTAGTTGAGGGTCTTCCTCTCTGTCTCTGGCCCTCCATCTTCCCGAGCATGATGTCCCTTTCCAAAGACTGGCCCCTCCTTGGGCCAGTAAGCTACCCAAAGCATGCGAGATGAAGCTTCCTCATCTTTGCCTCCAAAGAGCACTCTGGCTGCACCTTCTCCAAGACGTATCTGTTTATCCTTCTGGCAGTCCAGGGATACCACAGCTCAAAGGCATCAATTCTTCTTCTGCCATCCTTATTCATTATCCAGTTTTCAAGTAGTTGGATAGACAATGGCCGGGATCATTGCTCTTCAGTAATTTGGAGAAGTCCATGACAGAGGACTTGCTCAACGCAATACACCTCCTGATCTGATTGCTGGAACCAAGGGTTCTGACTGTGAACTCAAGTAAGATAAAATCACAGGCAATTTCAGTCTTTTCTCCATCATCATGATGCTGCTTCTCAGATGAGTGGTGGGGATATTTGTCTTCTCAACATGGAGACATAATCCATATGGAGACATAATCCATATTGAAGGCTGTTTTCTAACATGCTATGCTTTGTAAACACACAATCCAAGCCCGCAGGCATCGAGAGGGTTCTGCTTTATGGTTACTGCGGTCTTCTTGGCTGGAATCACCACAGATCAGGCAATCACACCTTTCTTCTGTGGAGCTGTCGGAACAGATTCAAGCTGCTCATCTGTAAGGGAACCGCCGCGTTGGATTAAATTTGTGTCCTTCAAAAATCCATGCATGTAGAGACACAACGTGGAAACTGTGCAACGACCTCCCAGAATCTGAGAACTCAAAAGCCACAGGACGACTAAGGATGCAAGACAATGTCCTACAATCCCACCACAGCCCTGACCAATCTAGAAGCTTCCCCAGGATGTAGGGACACCTAACTAGAGAGAAAAGAAGAGGGAAGTGAGCATAGAGAGGGAGACCCCGGGGCCCAGCAAAGAGTTTCCAGGAGGAAGAGCATCCTCATGGACTCAGGTCTCTGTACAAGAAAGCTCCGACACCAGGGAAGACCAGGACACACAGTGTCTCCAAGGCAGACACCAGGCCCACAGGAGCTGATGGAAATACAGACGCCTCTCAACAACCTGCAGCGAGAGATGGCATCCTGGATTGGGCTTGTTGCCCTGTGGACTGCAAGAGTACGTTTCTACCTGTCAAAGCCATTCACCGCAAACCCAAAGGCCAAAGCTCTCTGGGAGTTTCCCCCCACTGGCTGGCTGGTCCCTGGGAGGATGGGCAGTCTCCCCTTGTCAAGTTCACAGGCTTGGAAGTATGATGGGGTGGAGAGATACGAGTCAGAGCTGCGTCTATACTGGGGAGGCGAGTTAGGGAACATGGGCAATCTGCAAGCTGCTTGGGCTACTCGGGGAGCCTGGAAAACACAAGTAGGCAAATGCCTTGAACATGGTAGCAGAAGAGACCTCCCCCACCGCCATGGCTGGGGCTGGCTGTCCTGGGACAACAAGGTCACAGTGCCATGCCCCTGCTCCTAATCTAAGGGGCATCTGGTCATGCTCTTCTGGCATTTCCCGAGTGTCCACCCTAAAGCTCCGCGAGAGGCCAGATAAGCCCCTTCTGGCCTCTCTGAGCTGCGCTCCTGGTATGTGGCCTTGGGGAGGGTGGCTAGTGGGGGTGGTGGCCCTGCTCTGACACAGCACTAACACACATAGGCCTTGAATCTCAGCTGAGTAAGCTGAAGGGTCCACCCCAGGGATGTTCTCACTCGGGGTCGTGCACTGCTGGCCAGCCTCCTGCCTGCGTCCATCTCAGTGGTGAGGGGAGCACTCCCCAGCCTG